GCGGGAGAGGGGCAGGAGTGCGGTGGGACCGGGCCGGGGGAGCGGGGGAAGCCAGCGGGCGGTGCGGGGGAGCGGGCAGGGGGTGCAGGACCCGGCTAGGGACGCGGGTGCAGCGGGGAGGGGGCGCGGGGGTACCGGTCTGGGGGTGGGGAGGAAACCGGGCTGGAGGGGCGGTGGGAACCGGGCACGGCGGAGCCGCCGGTCCTGTCCTGCCCGCGGGTACGGGGCTCTATCCCAGAGTGGTGCTGGGGGTCCCTGTCCCCATCCCAGGACCGAGGTGCCCGGTTTGGGGTGCCCCTCGGGGGACCGGGGTTCCCAGCTCCAGCATCTCCTTGCCGGGGTCCCCTCCCGGTTTCCTCCCCACCCCAGCAGAGGGGCTGCAGCTTCCTCGCTGCCTTCTTTCCTCTGTGCCCACTCTGCGGTGGCAGGAGAGGGCTGGCAGCAGGGGRACAGGRACCGGGACCCCCGTGCCATGCYGTGCCGTGCCATGCCAGGCTGCGGCTGCCTACGTGCCAGCGGGCTGGACACGCGACCAGCACTGGGCCGATGCCCAGAACCAGAGGAGGGAAGTGGGACGGGAGAAGTGGAAAGAGGAACGTGGTGGCACGCAGGGACAAGGCAAGGGGACAGCCCTGTCCCCCACTATCACCTGTGCCATCTGGTCTGGGCCCACACGTGGTGTTCCCGAGAAGCCGGCGGGCACGGTGCTGCTCCCCGCGCTGGAGGAAGGGATCAGCACCGCCCCAGAGAGGGGAGGGAGGGGAGGGAGGGATCGTGTGGGGCACAGAGGGGCTGAGCTTCCCCTCAAGTGCCACCAAGCTGCAGCCAAGGAGCTGAGGGGGCACACGGGGCTGCCAGACTGGGGTGAGTGTTGGGGTGAGCTCACTCTGTCCGCAGGGACCCCACTGCTCAGCACGGGATGCGCAGTGGGGAGCACAGGCAGGGATGCTCCGAACCAGGATTGGATCCCCATCCGTGGTCCCTGTGCCCTGACCCCGCTGTGTCCCGCAGGGTCCCTGGATGCCACGGTGCAGGATGGGCACCACGGCCGTGCTGCTGGCCCTGCTCCCCACGGGGACCGCGCAGCCCACGCCGCCCTCGGGCTGCGGCCACGACCTCTCCTCYCTCTACTACAACCTGTGCGACCTCTCGGCGGGCTGGGGCATCGCGCTGGAGGCGGTGGCCAGCCTCGGCGTGGTGACCTCCTTCGTGCTCACCATCGTCCTGGTGGCCAGCCTGCCCTTCGTGCAGGACCACCAGAAGAAGAGCCTGGTGGCCACGCAGGTCTTCTTCCTTCTGGGCACCTTCGGGCTCTTCTGCCTGACCTTCGACTTCATCGTGGGGCCGGATTTCTCCACCTGCACCTCACGCCGCTTCCTCTTTGGCGTTCTCTTCGGCATCTGCTTTTCCTGCCTGCTGGCGCACGCCGTGGCCCTCAACTTCCTGGCGCGGCGGAACCGTGCGCCGCGGGGCTGGGTGACGCTGGCGGTGGCCCTGTCCCTGGCCTCGGTCGAGGTCATCATCAACGCCGAGTGGCTCATCATCACAGTGGCGCAGCGCGAGGGCGGCCCCCCGGACCCCTGCCAGCTGGCGGACGCTGATTTTGTCATGGCCCTCATCTACGTCATGGCCCTGCTGGTGGCCGCCTTCGGCACGGCCTGGCCGACCCTCTGCGGCCGCTACGGCCGCTGGCGCAAGCACGGCGCCTTCATCCTGGCCACCACCGGMCTCTCGGTGGCCATCTGGCTGGCGTGGACCGTCATGTTCCTGTACGGGAACCGGCGCGCCGGCCGCAAGCCCGGCTGGGATGACCCCACGCTGGCCATCGCGCTGGTCTGCAATGCCAGCGCCTTCCTCCTGCTCTACGTCATCCCCGAGGTGACACATGTGACGCGGGGCAGCCCCGAGCAGGCCTTCGAGGACGATGGCTACCCCACACGCGGGGTGGGCTACGAGACCATCCTCAAGGAGCAGAAGTCGCAGAGCATGTTCGTGGAGAACAAAGCCTTCTCCATGGACGAGCCGTCCTTTGGTAGGTGCCAGGGACTCTCTTGCCCCACGGCAGGGTGTCAGCAGGTGCAGGACCCTCCTGGGGACCCTTGGGGACATCCCCACTGGGGACAGCAGGGATGGGTGGGTGACGAGACGCTTGGCAGTGACCTGCCCGGCGCTGGCGCCTGCTGCTGTTGTGGCTCCCRAGAACTGGCCGGGCTGGGCGTACCAGTTTGGGCTGAGCCCGGCAGCCACAGGAGCTCCCTCCCCTGCGTGGGGTGCCCGCAGCTCCTGCCCCTCTGCCCCGGGCCCACCAGACCCTGCAATAACACGGGCTGGTGGCAGTCACCCCACTGGGCACCGTGGGTGGGCACACCAGATATCTGCACCCCACGGGGACGGGAGGGTCCCCATGAGCAACCCCTGCACCAGAGAGACCCTACAATAACAAACCACGGCCGGGTGGCAGCGATGCCAGCCCTGGGGACAGCAGTGTCCCGCGGGAAAGGCTGAGGCAGCTCGTTAAACCTGCTAACGAGGTGCAGGGAGCCCCAGYGGGGTGGCAGTGGCTCCATGGTGACTGTCCCCGTGTCTCAGCAGCCAAGAAGCCGGTGTCCCCATACAGTGGCTACAACGGGCAGCTGCTGACCAGCGTCTACCAGCCCACCGAGATGGCTCTGATGCACAARGGGACGGTGAGTGTGACACCAGGGTCACGTCCTGTCCTTCTGAACAGAGTGGCTGGGTGGGTGAGGGGGTCCTGTGTCCCAAAAACTGCTGTAATGGGGTGGGGACCCTTCGAGCCTTCCTCCCCGGAGCCTGTGAGGCTGTGGGTGTTCCCGGTGCTGTGACACCCCCGTGTGTGTCCYGCAGAGCGAAGGTCCCTACGATGTGATCCTGCCCCGTGCCTCCACCAGCCCCATGCCTGGCAGTGCCAGCTCCACGCTGCGAGCYGAGGACGCTTTCGCGGCGCAGGCGCGGCACTCGGGCATCCCGAGGGACACCCGCAGCTGCCAGGTGGGTGAGCRGTGGCTGTGGCGGGGGCAAAGTCCGGCCCTGCCATGGTGACGGCTCTCTCAGCACCCAGAGCCCCCCCGATGGGTCAGGGTGCACGTCCCTGTGGTGTGGGAGCCGTGATCCCGGTGCCACCCCAGTGCCGCTCCAGTGCCACCCTGCTGTGCCCGCAGGTGCAGTCCCCGTACAGCAGGAACCGCTGGTGACGCCTCTGTGACACCGCTCCCGCAGTGCCAGCACGGCCACGGCCCCTCTGTCCCGCTGCCAAGGGCTCGCCGAGCCTCGTCCCACCCTGACGTGTGAATCCCACCCCAGCTGGCGCCCGGAGCCGCTTTCTGCCCGCGGGATGCCCGGACACGGTCCCGGAGCCAGCGCTCCCACCTGCCCGTCCCCCCTGGCCATGGCACCCGCCACATCCCTGCCTCCAGGACTGTTTCCCGTGGGGACACCCCCAATTGTCGCCTCGCTGCCCTCGTGACGCACGGACAGCYCATCCCCCAGGCCATGGACCCTCCCAAGGCGGGGAGCCAGTGGGACCCTCGCCCGGGGCACCCACCCAGACCCCGGTCCCGCACTGACCCCCAGCAGCCCTGGGGACCCCGAGCCGAGCTGGCCCCATGCCACCGCAGGGCACGAGGGGACACGAAGCCATCCCCAGCTCCGCCTCCTGCTGTGCCTCAGTTTCCCCATTGCTGGGGAAGGGTTGGYTGCCGGGGGTCCAGGGGATCAGTGCCTTGCTGGGGCTGGGCTCTGGCCAGCCTTCTCGGTGCCTTCCCCCCTTGGGGCTCGGGGACCCCTCCAGGGAGCGGGGAGGGAGCTGGGCCCCTCACCCTCCTCGTGGCTTTCTCTGTCAAATTTCCTCTTCCCACTTTTTTTCAGGTCACCCCAATAAAGGTGGTTTTTCCTACGCTGCTGTCACGGGTGGACTGTGATGTGGGGTCCCGGGTGTTCCCAATCCCACCGGCTGCTCCGATGGGCTCAGCCCCACGTCCCCCTTTAGTGGGGTGAGAAGGAGCATGGGGGGCTCAGGGCAGGGTCCTCGGCACCCCCATCCCCCCAGATGGGGCTGCTGGGCCGGGATCCCGCGGGCAGATGGGCAGCCAGGCGGGAGGTGGCACAGCCCGGAGGACATGCCAAGGTCGCAGTGGTTTTCCCGCTCGGATTGCCTTCCCCTCCGCAGCCATTCCTCCTCCTCCGGGCAGGAAGCCTGCGGGCAGCAGTGCCATGAATTATTCAGGGCTGGAACGGCTCCGTAGGGGCAGCGGGTGACCCGGTCTCCTTGAGCCGGAGCCGGGATGGCGGCGCTGGGGCTGCCGGTGGGCAGTGCGGTGTCCACCCCAGGGACACACAGCGGGCGCGTGGCACACGCCTGTCCCCTGCGGGCTCTGGGGACACGGCTGTTTGCAGCAGGATGTGGCCGTGCCCCCCGGGGCTGTGCTGCGTCACCCGTGTTTACCTGTCACCTGTGTTTACCTGGCGCCGGGTGGCAGCGGGGACATCGCCCAGCAGCACTGGGTCAGCACAGCGCGCCCTCCTCGCKGCCGCTGGCACCGCACGGCACCGCGGTCCCCAAAGGCACCGCCACCTTCCCGGCGACAGCAATGTCACCCTGGGGACTGCAGAACCGCCCGATAAACAAGGTGGGGAGTGCTGTCCCCACTCGGGCCCGCAGGGGACAGCGCAGTGGCCCGGCTGCCGCGCCCGCCCCTCCGGAAGCGCGGATCCCACCAGCGCCGGCCGCAGCGCGGGGCGGCCCCGCTCCAACAGGGAACGCTTTGTGCCGGCGCGGGGCCGCGGAACAGCGGGGCCTTTGTCCGGCCAGGTGAGGGCAGACACGGCTGCGCCGCGCCGGGAGCGGCCCCGGAGCCTCCCCGGAGCCGGGGGATGCCCGGGGGGGCGCGGGGCGGTGGCAGGTGGCACCGCGGTGGCAGCGTGGGCGCAGCGGCGGGGACGTGGCAGCGCACCTGGCACCGGGTCACCGTGACTGCAGCCGGGTGGGGACACGGGCAGCGGTGCCCAGGGAGGGCTGAGCGTGGCTGCGGCCCCGGGGATCAGCGGAGTCACCAGAGGTGACAATGAAGTGACACCATGCAGGTGAGTCCTGCAGGATGCTCTGCCAGAGCTGGAGCTGGCCAGGCACCAGGCTCTCCTCACAGCTGAGGAATGACAGCCCTGCCAAGGCCAGCCCGTGGTGACAGTGCCATGCCTGGGACTGCCACCTGCCAGCACCGCAGTGGCACTAAGGAATCCCTGAGGAACTGGGAGCACAGTCACACTCACACCGCCAGCTCCCACTGGCACTTTTTATCCAAGCAGGTCCGTGGCACCGCAGAGACACCACTCCAGCCTGACCAGGGGCTGTGGGACGCCCCAGGGCTCAGCGGTGACACAAGAACATCAGGAAAATGTCCCTCTCGAGTCCCAGGGTCCTCAGTGTGAGTCCCCGTGCCCGGCCCTGGCGTGCTCCCGCTCCAGCTGTTTGCGCCTCTGGATGTCCCTGTAGGCCTGGATGACACGCACCCGCTCCTCCTCCAGGATGCGCCGGCGAGCCATCGACATCACCGGGGACACTGGGGACAAYGGGGACGCGAGGGACGCCCGGCTCCGGCCCAGGCGAGGCGTCAGGAGGAGCTGCTTCCGTCCAGCCTGTGAGCAGAGACGGGACAGCTCAGGGATGGAGGATGAGACACCGGCACCGCGCTCCAACGAGCTGTCACCGTGTCACTGAGGCCACCGCTGCCTCCCAGGTACCCAAGAGTGGGTGGCAGTGGCTCCAGAGCTCACCTGCTTGGCGGGACCCTGTCCCCTGGGCCGTGAGGTGATGGTGGGTGGCTGTGTCACCACTTCTCCAAAGGGCACCGTGTCTGTGAGCGAAGCCGGAGCCAGGTCAGGAGGAGACCCTCGGGATGCTCCAGCACCCCCCACCCCTCCACAGGCTGTCCCCCGGGGCTGGGGGTCACTTCAGTCCCCCCATTCCATSCCCACCTTGGAACAGGCTCTTCTCCAGCATGTCCTCCTTCTTCTCCTCYTTCTTCTTCCGAGCTTTTTCCAGYTTCTTCTTCTGAAACCTGAAGAGCCACGTTACAGCCGGGGCTCAGCAGTGGACGGGGAGCATGGAAGGATTTCCCACCCCATGGGAGCCCCAAATCCCACAGCTTTTTCCCCAGAAGGGTGAAGCAGTCTAGTGGCTCTGTTCCCAGAGCTCCATCCCCGTGGAAAGGGGGCCCACAGCCTCCCACCCACACCCCCGGATGCTGCAGACACCAGGCCCACCCTGCAGAACTGGGCAAGGGGACAGGCGTGGGCCAGCCCCACCCAGCTCCCGTGGCTTTGCTCTCACTCTTTTTTCCTCTTGGACTTCTCTGGAGCCTCCTTCTCAGGCTCCCGCTGGAGCTGGTTCTCCGTGTGGAAGAGGACGCGCTGCACCTCGTGCTCCATGCGGCAGATGTAGGAACGCTCCGACTCCCCCTTCCCCCTCCGGAATTTGGGTACAGCAATGTCCCCCGGGGCCTTGGGGCCTTTGGGCTTCTGCTGCTGCTTCTTCTCTAGGAGAGACGGGTGACATTTCTGCAGCGGTGACACCCTGGGGTCCCTCTGGCTGGCAGGGCACAGGTGGGACATCACGGGGGGGAGGAGGGTGTCCCATGGCAGGATCTGACCATGCCGTGGGCTCCTTGGCCACCTGCTGGGGCCACCTCGGTGTCCCACCTGCCACCCGCTGCTTCTTGCCGGGGTCCGGGCGCTTCATGGCCTCACGGCTCCGCATGAGCTCCCGCAGGCGGAACGGGATCTCCTGCTCRTCGGGGTGTTTGGGCTTCATGTTGTCCTTCTTCTCTTTCCTGGGGAAATGAGCACAGAGAGAAGCATCAGGACCTGGAGGCTGCGACACGTGCACCCGGGCACGGCAGGACACCGGGACACCACGGGACACCGGGATCCAGGCACGGCAGGATACCGGGACTTGAGTGGGAAACAGAGCGGGGCACGGCAGGACAGCGGGACACCGGAACAGGGAGAGATCGGGATGGGACACGGGGAGACAGCAGGACACAGGAACAGGGAGAGATCGGGATGGGACACGGGGAGACAGCGGGACACAGGAACAGGGAAAGATCGGGATCGGACACGGGGAGACAGCGGGACACAGGAATAGGGAGAGATCGGGATCGGACACGGGGAGACAGCGGGACACGGGAACGGGGAGAGATCGGGATCGGACACGAGGAGACAGCGGGACACGGGGACGGGGAGAGATCAGCCCGCAGCCCCCGAGAGCGGGACCATCCACGCCCCGGGAGCCGCGTGGGTGCAGGTCCCGAACCGGGAGCGATCCCGACTGGATCCCGCGGGCACTGACCGGCTGCGCAGCGGGACGGCCGCTCCATGTTCCGATCTCGGTCCCGCTTTCTGTCCCGGTCCCGCTTTCTGTCCCGGTCTCTGCCCCGGTCCCGTTTTCTGTCCCTGTCCCGGTCCCTGTTTCTGTCCCGGTCCCGCTTTCTGTCCCGATCCCGGTCTCTGTCCCTGTTTCTGTCCCGGTCCCGATCCCGGTCTCTGTCCCTGTCCCGGTCCCGATCCCGGTCTCTGGCGCTGTCGCGGTCCCCTGGCTGGTTTCTGTCCCTGTGCCCGTCCCGGTCCCGGTCCCCGGGCCATGGCTCCGCCACCCTCACGTGGCCGTTCCGCCGCCACTTCCGTCCTTTAGCCCCGCCCCCTGCTCCTTATTGGTCCCTCCCACAGCACAATACCCACATTGCTGCCCGTGCCGGGCTGCCATTGGCTGGGGGAGCTGTCACTCAGAGGGGGGCGTGGCCAGAGCGCTGC